AAAACCATTCCTATTTGGGGGTAGTCTCATTGTTGCCCATCTAGTGCACCTGCTAATTTCATTAACACCAAAGCAGCTGAAACTGATGAACACCCCCCTCTGCTACTTAACTGACCAGACCGACATCCCAGTTTCATTGACTTGATGCTGTACTCTGATTAAAAAGTGCTCCTTTAATTATTTTTTTTTGAGCAGTTTCTGTACACACATACACAGTGCATTCATAAAGTATTCAGACCCCCTTCACTTTTGTTATGTTGCAGCCTGATCCTACAATTGCTTAAAGATCATGTATTCTGGTTTTTTTCCCCTCAACCACTTCCTGGCCAGCTACCGCAGTTATAATGCAGCAGAGCAGCCTCCTTGCGCCAGGTCATGTGCATGTACAGGATCCAGCTCTTCCAGGCAGAGGGTGCATGCCCGCTGCGCTGCCATTCACTACAGCACATGCTGATCAGCGGGTTCCGGCCAATGACTGATGGTTGGAACCCACTAATCCGGCTCAGCAAATGGCAGAAGACAGCCCCTGCAAAGCAGGGAGTAAAAACATTGCTTAGTAAAACAGCACACAGTAAACATTGTTGGGCACACAGTTACCCTTTGATTGCCCCTAAATGTTAACCCCTTCTCAGCTAGTGTCATTAGTACAGCAACAGTGTATAGTATTAGCACTGATCACTGTATTAGTGTCACTAGTGATGTGTCAGTCAGTTCCCATCCAGTGTCAGATTGCCCACCACACCAGCACAGTCCCACCATAAGTCGCTGGGCACCATTACTAGTGAAATATATAAATAAAAATTCCAATACACATCATGGTTTGTAGATGCGATATAACTTTCACACAAATCAAGCAATATGCACTTGTTGGGTTTTTTTTTTTTTTTTTTTTTTTAAATCAAAGACATAGCAGAATACATTTGATTATTTTTTTAATTTAATGTTTTATAGCAGAAAGTAAAAGATATTGCATCTCTGGTGGATGAGTATCATTAGTGGATGTAAAGAAGTTTGATTGACATCTTTCCAAGGTCTGCTTCTATTAGTTTGAACACTTGAAGTCTGCTGGATCGGCCGTATTGATCTGGTAAGTGTGGAATATTTGCATGTGGTGGAGCACCTTTGTGGTACTTCAAGATTGTCTTTCAATAGTGATATGGACATGGTGACTGGCATTATTCAGTTACACATTTGGACTTTAACATCTATATTCATGTCACATTGTGTATATTCACTTATTTTGTGTGTTCTAATGCAGGGGTGGGCAACTGTAGGCCTCCAGCTGTTGGTGAACTACAAGTCCCATCCTTTGGGAGTCAGGCTTGTAATTGTCATTTTGCAATGCCTCATGGGACTTGTAGTTCTACAACAGCTGGAGGGCCACAGTTGTCCACCCCTGTTCTAATGTTTAATATTCACTGATCTATATTCTATGTTTTAAAGGGCTAGCGCCTGCCTTTACAGTATTATCAAACATTTGGTAGTGTCAGTTGCTCTTAACCACTAGCCTACTGGACACTGTCACCCCCCTGCACAGGCCAATTTTCAGCTTTCAGCACTGTCGCACTTTGAATGACAATTTTGCGGTCATGCAACACTGTACCCATATTACATTTTTATCATTTTTTGTGACAGAGCTTTCTTTGGTGGTATTTAATCACCTCTGGGTTTTTATCTTTTGCTAAACAAACCAAAAACTGAAAATTTAGAAAAAAAAGTTTCTTAGTTTCTGTTATAAAACTTTGTAAATAAGTGATTTTTTCTCCTTCACTGATGTGCGCGGAGGCTGCAGTAATTGGCACTGATGAGGAGGCACTGAAAGGCAGCACTCATATGGCACTGACTGGCGACACTGATTGGCATTGATAGGTGGTACTGAAAGGTAGCTCAGATGGGCACTGACAGGTGGCATTGATGAGCACTGACAGGTGGCACTGCTTGGACTACACTGATCATCAGTGCCTTGATGATCAGTGTACATGTCCCCTTTGTGAGGGGAGAAAAATGCCGATAACCAGCATTTCCTTATTTACATGTGATCAGCTGTGATTGGACAAAGCTGAACGCACGACTGAGCCATCTTCAGCTCTTTCTGGTGATCCACTGGGCCCTAGGGACACAGCGCACCACAGATCGCCACGCATGCGCGGTTAGAGTGGGTGGACGTCTTATGGCGTCCTCCCAGAACGAGAACCGCCTTGCACCCATCATTTCCTTATATGGCGTGTGGCGGTTAAAGGGGCAGCTGCCTTGTTAATTAAACATTTGGTTTATTATTTTTAATTATGTTGGTTATGTCAGCCCTACTTTGTCAAAAACAAGTCTAAAGAGACCCATGAAGGCCATGTGGATCAGGGCACAGCATAAGTGCCCCCTCCTTGCCTAGAATCAAACATTTTGTGACAAGGTAACATTTAGGCTTAAGGTAGTCACAAAACTGAACATCTGGTAGCAGGTGAGAGTCAGAGGGCTGGTGTGGTGACCAAAGTAACTGTAGGTGGGGACCAGAAATGGATCTAAATTCAGTGTGGCTTTTGCAAGCAGCAGAGATACTTCAACACTGTATGGAAAGGAAGACAAAGGAGAACATGCAATACTCCACCAAGTGGATGACATCAGCACATAGTCCCAAGAGTTAACCTCTAACACGAAAAAAAAAAAACACACAGAAGGGGAGAATAAAGGTGTCCAGAAACCTTTGCAAGCGGGTTAGCGCCCAATGGCAAACCTGAGTGGTCCACCCACTAAAGCGAATCTTCATTGATGATGAAATGTTGAGGCAATGGCAGCAGCTCTGGACTTAGAAAGTACTTCGCAGCTAACCAGAGTGAAGTGTGGAAAGTTACCCACACCAAACCCAGAGCATAAAATTCACTTTCAGACCATCTCTGCAACATTCAGTCCAGCAGGGTCCAAATACAGTACTCCCAAAAGCCATACAGAGGATGACTGTGCTTCATAGGTGTAACTGAAGAGAAAGTTCCAGCTGGGATATAAAGAACATGAAGGGAAGGGGGGAAAAAAAAAAAAATGTTAATTTAAACCACCTCCCGTTCGGCCGTTGTATATAAACGGCTGGATGGTGGCAGTGCAGGGGCAGGTGGCCATTTATAAAGGGCCTCCTTGCCCCCTGGGAGCTCACAGCACCGCTATCTGGTGCCCGCTGTCCTCCGGACACAGGAACACCAATTGTCGTACAGAACCTCTGTGCGAGGTCCCGATCATGTGACCACTGATTGGCCAATCAGTGATCACATGCAGAGTAGTAAGCAAGATGTCACTTCTGACATTGCTTACTACGTTTGAAATTTGTGAATGATCAGAGGTCACATGGTACAAGGCTATTCACAACAGCCTTGTACCATGTGACAAGCTGTACCAATCACAGCTCACACAGTAGTTCTCAATGGCTGTAAGAATGCAGCCAGAGAGAAGGAGAAATGATTGCTTTTACACCCCATAAAGGCTGTAAAAGCAATCAGTGTAAACAAAAAAATCATCACCCCCACAAGTAGTACAGTGTCACCATAGTGACACTGTACTGCTAGGATGACCGTATGTAATAAAAAAAATTATAAAAACATAATAAAAATATAAAAAAAAAAAAGTTTAAACACTTTTGGTTATAAACTAATTTGGTTTTTTTTTACACTAAAGATAAAGGAATAAATTTTGGCCAATATTTATGATGAAATATTTGCAAAATTTTGTAAGAAAAGCATCTTTCAAAATTTTTGGACTTTCATTTACATAGCAAAAAAAATAAAATCCCAGTGGTGAATAAATACCACAAAAATAAAGCTTTATCTGTCTAAAAAAAGATGCTAAAAAAATTCATATGGGTAGTGTTGCATGACCGCGCAATTGTCAAAGTGTGATAGTGCTGAAAGCTGAAAATTGGCCTGGACAGGAAGGGGGTAAAAGTGTCCAGACTGGAAGTGGTTAACCTCCCCGGCGGGTACTCCTAAGTGTGGCTCAGGGTTAATTTTCAGTACCAAAAGGGGTAACCCCTAGCCACACTCAGGATTACAGGTAGGTAGGTGTGTGGTAACTAACCTTGTCCCTGCGATCGGCAGATGCCTCCCACTGTGTCCCCCCGCCGATGCCGGCATCTGTCTTCCCTTCCCTGCGAGCGATGCGACACAAGGGGCCGGAGATTCAAAAAAGTAAAAACATTACACACAATACATTGTAATCTGTTAGGATTACATTCCTGTTTCAAACCATTTCACATACATTTTGTCCCGAGTGCTTTGTCCGGCGCCCTGCCTGCATCTTTACTGTTCTTTCTGCCTGGAAACTGAGAAACGTCCATGGCGTCCAAAAAGCGTCCCTTTAGGTCAAAAGCGGTTTTAGACCGGCTAGAGAACAGCGATAGTAAATCAGAACCACTTGCAGAATTGAGTGATGATTCGTGGGGGAAATTCCTCATCAGACACTGAAATTTCCATGCAAAACAATGTACCGCTTTGACTGTCAAAAATATTGACATAATCAGACCGCCAGGGAGGTTAAACTAGAGCTGAAGAGAAGGCGCACATCCTCCTAGGATACTAGCAAAAACTGAGGCATGCTGGTAGGAGCCAGCATCAACAATACTGGGAGGAGCCAGCATCAACAATACAGGGAGGAGCCAGCATCAACAATACAGGGAGGAGCCAGCATCAACAATACAGGGAGGAGCCAGCATCAACAATACAGGGAGGAGCCAGCATCAACAATACAGGGAGGAGCCAGCAACAATACTGGAAACGCCTTGCAATAACATGAATCCACAGAACATCTTTAGGTGGGTGTCAATGAGCAAACAGAGATCTTTATCAATGTTGCCTTCTTGATCCTATAGGTTAGATGTAACAGACATTTCACAACCAAAACAAAGGCTAGAACACCAAAATTGGCTCAACACTCTGCTACACAAACACAGGCAAAGAAAACAAATTGGTGGCCAAAATTTTTTGATTTTATTGTAAGATCTGAAACATGAGGCTATTGACAACTTAACGGTTGGACTTGGCAACTCTCTCCAATTCATCTTTCTTCTTGATGGCGTAGGAGTTAGAGGAGCCCTGAAAGGAAAAACCAAAAAAGTTCAGACTTGAAGAAAAACATTACTATGAGTATTGCAACAATCTTTGAAAATAGATTTTAATTTCCCTATGCTTCTGTTCTGAAAATACTGCAAAGACCCCTACTCCCGCCGGGACTGTTTTTCAGAAATGGAAGGATGAATGGGGGTTCGGTTCAAAGAACCTTGTGCCCACTAAAGAGAACCTGTCAATGACTGCCTTCAGTCAAAGTGGCGTTTCCCCCCCCAAGCTTCCTTCAAGTTCAGCTCTAACTCAACAGCAGGACAGCTACAACAGCACCATGTACAGAAATCTATTTGCACTGCTCCCTGGAGTCAGCTATGACAGCGTCCAGCACTAGATGGAAGCATTGGCTGTGACAGCTTCCTCTTAGAGCCAAAAAATGTCAGCCCAATGGAAAATTGTGGAGAGGTAGTATTGAGACCACACCTGCTTATCCCTCTCTTCCTGAAAATACTAGTTCCCTGGCTCTCATGCGGATATATTAAATTACAGTTCAGTAAAGTGGAGAGAGATTAAATTCCCCATCAGGTTTATACTGCCATTTTGTCTTGTTTACCATTATGACTGAAAGCAAAAAAAAATCCCAAATTCTGGGTTAACACCGGAACAGGAAAAGGAGGGGAAATCTCATAATGAGGACAGTAGTTCTGGAAACAGCCATGAACTTTGAAGGGATTCCCTTTCACTTCTTGTTTTTGGCTATAGGACAGGAAGTGAAGGGAAATCTCAATGAAACAGATGGCAAAAAAAACAAAACAAAACCAAAGCTTTAAATCAGAGCATCCAATCTATATATCTGGTGATACATTTATGCACCAACTTTTAACAACTTCAAACTTTAGTCTACATTTTTTAGATTTCTAAATTCTCAATATTCTACAACTGCGTAGCCTATAATTTGCACTCCATGCACCCCTCATTTACCTTGGCTGCATTGATGAGCTCATCGGCGACACATTCTGCAATGGTCTTAATGTTCCTGAAGGCAGCTTCACGAGCTCCGGTGCACAAGAGCCAGATAGCCTGAGACAAGAGATAAAGATTTAGAGACAGAATCTGATAGCAAACAAACTGAGAATCTTCAAACATTCCAACATAGGACATACTGCAGAAGAACTTTTTTTTCTAATTGCATTTCACAAAGGCTAAAAACAATTAACTACTTTAAAGTGGAGCTCAGCCCAAAAAGGGAAGTTCCGCTTTAAGCCTTTGTCCCCTGCTTCCCATTAAGGATTGGCACCTTTGGGGAGCTGGGGGGAGGAGGTACCCGAATTTGACAGATACCCGCTCTCACTTCCACTACGATTGCCTAGGCAATCGGAAGTTGTCCCTCCCCTCTTCCGCCCCGTAGTTTTCTGGGACACGTGACAGGTCCCAGAAGACTATGGGGCCATTCACAAAGTGCAGCGCTTCTCACACATGGGCAGTGGGCACCCGGCTGTGAAGCTGCAAGCTGTCACAGAAGGGTGCCCACACTGAAGATGCCGCCGCCAGAGAGAGAAGATGGCCGGTGAAAACCAGCCGTGGTGAGGACAGAGATGGACCGAGGGACATTTTAAGAGTCAGCAGCTGCAGTTTTTGTAGCTGCTGACTTTCTTTCCAGGTGGAACTCCGCTTTAAGTCCTGGCCTATTCTGAAACTTCTCTACTATATATACAAATCAGCATTTTATTGCTAGAAAATTACTGAGAACTCGCAAATATATAATTTTTTTAGCAGAGGCTCTGGAGAATAAAACTGTGGATGTTGCAATTTTTTTTTTATGTCACACAGTATTTGCACAGCAGTTACTCAAACATTGTTTTAGGGAAAATATACACTTTATTTTAAAGAACAAAACACAACACCCAATTTTTTGGTAAAATATAAAAGATAATGTTATGCCAAGTAAATAGATGCCCAACATGTCAGGCACTTTTTCGTGGAATGGCACCAAACTAATGTACGTAATCTCCATAGGCAATGCTTTAAAACCCTTTACAGCTTACCAGCATAGAGTTACACAGGCCTGGTGCTATAATGATTGTTCTCACTATAAAGTTCACTGCGATACCTCACGTGTGGTATGATTGCTGTTTACGTATGCATGTGCAACTTACATGTGTTTGCCATGCACATGAGGATAGGGCACTTTAGATTTTATGTTATTTTATACATTTTTATTACATTGTCCCTTTACATTTGTTTTTCATCACTGTTTTTGGTATCACAAGGAATGTAAACATTCTTTGTAATGAATCAGTGACAGGCTTCTTTGAGAGATCTAGGGTCTATTAGACCCCAGATCTCTCCTTTGCCAGCTTTGGTTCAAATCCAGATCAGTTTGATCTGGGCTTTCCCAAGCCGGTAAAAAGACCGAAACTGGAAGCGGCAAAATACTCGTCGCTTCTGGATTCGTATACCATAGCACCTCTATGGTAAGCAGGCAAAAACCACCGACTTCAGTGCAGGGCTCCCTGGTGGGACAGGAAAACCTGAAGAGGGACTGGAGGGAAGTGGGGGGCAGTGGTGGTGACGTTCCCCTTCTGCCACCTGTAAAAGCAATCCAGCAACTAATTGGCCGCTAGGATTGCTTTTAAAAGTGCATCACTGGCTAAAAAAAAAATATATAATAATATATATATATATATATATATATATAAAAATTCAGGATTTATATAGCACCAACAGTTTGCTCAGCGCTTTACAATATAACGGGGGACAATACAGTGGAGCTTACAATCTAGGAGATACACACACATCAAGGTTGATGCCAGCCCCTGTATAACCACTTTAGGTATACCATGTAAATGTCCCTTGCCCAGTCCAGAAGTGGTTAGAAAAGATCCTGGCCAAGAATCTCTGCCCATACCAAAGCATTCCTTCTCGAAAAAGCATGTTTTTTGCACGGGCAATGATTGTTGCCCGGAATCTTTTTAACCACCTTCCGCCTGCCATATAGTACAATGATGGGCGCAAGGTGGTTCTCTCGTTCTGGGGAGGACGTCCTCCCATTCTCACTGCGCATGCGCGGCTCAGGGAGCGCGCAGCGTGGCAATCGCCGGTCCGCTGTATCACGGAAAGAGCCAAAGATGTCGGCTCGGTCATGTGATCATCTGTGTCCAATCACAGCTGATCACATGTAAACAGGGAAATGCTGGTTATCGGCATTTCACTCCTCTCGAGCTGTCACGCTGACAGAGGAGAGGAGAGCCGGTAATCGGCTTTCCGCGGAGGGGACATGTACACTGATCATCAGACTGCCTAACCGTGCCCTGTGTCAGTGCCGCCTACCAGTGCCCATCAGTGCCGCCTACCAGTGCCCATCAGTGCCGCCTACCAGTGCCCATCAGTGCCGCCTACCAGTGCCCACCAGTGCCGCCTACCAGTGCCCACCAGTGCCGCCTACCAGTGCCCACCAGTGCCGCCTACCAGTGCCCACCAGTGCCGCCTACCAGTGCCCACCAGTGCCGCCTACCAGTGCCCACCAGTGCCGCCTACCAGTGCCCACCAGTGCCGCCTACCAGTGCCCACCAGTGCCGCCTACCAGTGCCCACCAGTGCCGCCTACCAGTGCCCACCAGTGCCGCCTACCAGTGCCCACCAGTGCCGCCTACCAGTGCCCACCAGTGCCGCCCAGTGCCGCCTACCAGTGCCCACCAGTGCCGCCTACCAGTGCCCATCAGTGCCGCCTACCAGTGCCCATCAGTGCCACCTACCAGTGCCCATCAGTGCCGCCTACCAGTGCCCATCAGTGCCGCCTACCAGTGCCCATCAGTGCCGCCTCATTAGCGCACATCAGTGAAGGAGAAAAAATCACTTATTTACAAAATTGTATAACAAAAGCTAAGAAAAAACTTTTTTTTTTTAAATTTTCAGTGGTTATTTGTTTAAGAAAAAATAAAAATCCCAGAGGTGATTAAATACCGCCAAAATAAAGCTCTATCTGACACAAACAAAATGATAAAAATGTCATATGGGTACAGTGTTGCATGACCGCACAATTGTCATTCAAAGTGTGATAGCGCTGAAAGCTGGAAATTGGCCTGGGGAGGAAGGGGGTATAAGTGCTCTGTAGGCGAGGGGTTAAATCGTTTTTTTTAGACTTTGTAATTTGCAAACATTCCAGCATGGGTATACTCCATAAGCAATTGGCATAACTTTTTTTTTGAAATATCAGTTCCATAGGAAAACACATCCAGAACTGTGAAAGTGAACTGACAACTGCTACTACACTGCCAAGGCAGATCTCTACTACCTCCCAGAAAACCATGAGTGCCATACAGTTAGGGGCTCTTATCAAACAGGCGATTATTTTCCAATACAAATATTTGTGGCAGAAAAGCTTCAGCTCCATCCACACTGAATAGTAAGCCAGATTTGTACTCGCTACAAAACCAGTGGCCGGTGTCACCGCTGTTCACATGTAATCACTCACCTGCGTGGTTACATGCCAATACGTGGTCCGATATGGACCTGGAATCAGTTTGAATATGGCCAGAAATGCTGGCCTTGGATGCAAACTGGTCACAGCTAACCATCCAGTTTGTAAGTAGACAGAACAGGGTGCTCCTGTGTCCAGACGCAATGATTTGCCGCATCGAAGCGCAGCAGTCTATTCACCCATCTGAGTGGGTCCTTATAAATCTACTGCTTTGAAAAGCACTTTGTCCAAATTCCATGAAAAGCTTTGGAAATGTAGTAAATTTATTTGAAAATAATACATCACTATGGCATGCCACTGTAGCAGAAAAAACAAACGTGGAATATTACTTTGATGCCATAAGACAGGTACATTTAAAAAGATCTACATCAGTTTGGCAACACAATTTAACCACTTTCAATACTGAGCACTTTTACCCCCTTCCTGCCCAGGGCAATTTTCAGCTTTCAGTGCTGCTGCACTATGAATGACACAATTGCGCGGTTGCAACTCTGTACCCAAATACTTTTTATCACACAACTAGAGCTCTTTTGGAGGTATTTAACCACCAGGGTTTTTTTTTTGCCAAAAAACAGAAAAAAACCCCCAAATTTTTGAAGAAAAAAAGTTTTTGTTTTAAAATTTTGCAAATAATTTTTCTTCATAAATTTAGGTCAGAATGTATTTTCCATTTCTTTGGTGAAAATAACCGAAAATTGGTGTATATTATTTAGCCTGTAGGGAAGAAGTTCTAGAGAACACCAGCTGGTAAATATATCGGAAAAATCGATCAATCCTGATATAGTGACGGCCTATCATTTCTTGAACCCCTAAAATGCCAGAACAGTACAAATAACCCCCCAAATGACCCCTTTTCGTAAAGCAGACAATCCAAGGTATTGGGAGGCATGGTGAGTTTTTTGAAGTTTTAATTTTTTTTGGAAAATGAAGGAAAAAAAAAAAAAAAGTCTAATTTTTTTTTTTAATATATTGTCACCAGTGCAGTACAGCACCATATCTGGTGTGGCGGTGATCAGGGATACCGATTGGTAAAAGAACAAAAAAAAAAAAAATTCTTCAATTTTATTTTTTAATTTTCTTACGATCTTACACTGCGACCAGAATATGTTACCATAGTAACACTATTACTCTGGAGAAATGATCAGGAATTTTTTAATCTTGTTTACACATCAAGATTGCTTATTGCAGTGAAATTCACTGCTATAAGCAAGAATTTTACTGAAATAGGTTTTTTTTGTTGTGATTAGCCACAGTTAAATCACATGGTACAGATGGGGCTGTGATTGGCCCTGTCTGCACTATGTGATCACGGTGACCAATCAGGGACCAGTTAATCACATGGTACAGTTGGGGCTGTGATTGGCCCTGTCTGTACCACGTGATCAGCCCTGTCTGTACCTTGTGATCACTGTGCCCAATCACAGCTAATTGTAATAAATGGCATGAATCAAAGCCATTGTTTACAATTGTCATGTGATCTGCTGTGATTTGCTACAGCGATCACATGGTACTGGCAGCGGGCCGGTACACTGATCAGTTGCGCACACAAGGCTCTTTCTGGGAGGACGCCATATGATGACCAAACAGAACAATGTCCCACCCGGCTGTCAATGTGCTATAGGCAGGGTGGGAAGTGGTTAATAAAACTTAATATTGAGCGGGAGGAACCAAGAAGCCCTTCATTTGCAGTCACCTGGTTGACTCTTCGTAGTGGGGACACATCCACAGCCTGTCTCCTCACTGTTCCGGCTCTACCGATACGGGTGGAGTCTTCACGGGGACCGCTGTTGATGATGGCATTGACCAACACTTGGAGGGGGTTCTAAAATCAGAGGAAAAAAAAAAAGTAAGTATACAGGATCTTACAAAGTGCATTTGATCCCCAAAGAGATTTTGCTTTCTGAGCCGAAACTGAAGCAAAAGCTGGTGATAAACAGAAAACCAAAATACTTTATATGGAGTAGATAATAGCTTGATTCAATCAAGCTACAGGTCAGCCAGGATCATCAATGGTGTAAATATAGCTTTTTTTTTAGCTGTGTAAACTCATGTTAAAAAACGCGAGTTTTCAGAGTCTGTTAGTGTTTTTGCATTAGTGTTTAGCTACGCTTGCGGTTTTTAGCAGTTTGCCATGATTTATCGCATTTTTACAGTTAAACTCTAGAAACCCACTAGTTCTGGGGGGTTTTTTTTTCAGCCCAAAACGCAGATTACAGTCTGTGTGTGCATGAACACATAGGAGAACATGCTGGTGGGGGGGTCAAAATATATATTTAGCAGTTTGGCATTTTTGGGAAAACCTTGGTTTCCGCTTAACTATTGTAATGTGCGACTCCCATGAAAGTCCATCGTTATTGCACACAATGCACTCAGTAATGTGTCATCACAGAAACCACAGTGGGAATGCACACTGAGCCCACGCATGTGCAGTTCGGAGTACATTTACGGCACCCACTCATGTGATGTGATGAAGTGACTCCTGTGTATATGCGCGAGTGTGACGTCATCATGGCCATGTCATTCAACCGACTGAACCCAGAAGGAAGCTCAGAAGTCCCCGAGCACAGAAAACAATGAGTTAGTATACAGTGCATGTTCGCACATTATGGAACAAACCTGAACCCATTTATACATTTTTTTTTTTAGCGTAGAATTTGCGAACATGCACTGTATACTAACTCATTGTTTTCTGTGCTCGGGCACTTCTGAGCTTCCTTCTGGGTTCAGTCGGTTGAATGACAGGGCAAAGATGACGTCACACTCGCGCATATACACGGGAGTCACTTCATCACGAGTGGGTGCAGTCACTGTACTCTGAACTGCACATGCGTGGGCTCAGTGTGCATTCCCGCTGTGGTTTCTGTGATGACACATTACTGAGTGCATTGTGTGCAATAACGATGGACTTTCATGGGAGTCGCACATTACAATAGTTAAGTGGAAACCAAGGTTTTCCCAAAAATGCCAAACTGCTAAATAGATATTTTGACCCCCCCAGCATGTTCTCCTATGTGTTCATGCACACACAGACTGTAATCTGCGTTTTGGGCTGAAACCCCCCCCCCCAGAACTAGTGGGTTTCTAGAGGAGTTTAACTGTAAAAATGCAATAAATCATGGCAAACTGCTAAAAACCGCAAACGCGGCTAAAAACTAATGCAAAAACACTTTAGCCCGAGTTCACACTGATGCGGTGCGGAATTTGCCGCGGTTTCAGTGCAAATTCTGCACCGCATCACAATCGCACCCCGTTCATACGAATCGATGCGGGTGTGTGTTAAGTTAACAACACCCAGACATCGTTCCACAAAACGCGGTGCGATGTGCAGAATCAGATCACATAGGATTGAATACCCATGCGATCCGATTCTAGCGCGGACCAAAAAAGGGTCCTGCACATTTTTGGTGTGGTGCGATTAGAGCCATACAAAATGTATGGCTCTAATCGCACCGCATGAAATTTGTACAGGAATGTGGTGCGGTTCCAGTGAGAAATCACATTGGATTTAATGCACCGCTGTAGTATGAACCAGAGGCTTAAGGCCTGCTCACACTTCAGTACTTTAGTATGTTTCTATGCACTGGAGACCTTGCATGCAGCACCCGCATTGCTGCCATTGTTGCCGTTCACCCCGTGGAGTCTTCCCATGGCACTTACCTCACCAGTCAGCAGGTGGATGATCTCAAAGGCGTGCTTTACAATCCTGACTGTCATCAGCTTCTTGCCGTTGTTTCTGCCGTGCATCATGAGGGAGTTTGTCAGACGCTCCACAATGGGGCACTGGGCCTTACGGAAACGCTTGGAGGCATAACGTCCTCCGCTGTGTGGAAGGTACTTGGCGTACTTCTCCTTCACGGCAATGTAATCCTGGAAACCAACGGCCACAGTAAGTTCAAAGGAACACATTAAAGCATACCTGTCATCTACACAATGCAACCAGCAATTCTAATACCAAACAGGTCAAAGCACTTCAGTGACTGCAACATACAGGGGATGGACAAAATTATGGAAACGGGTAAAAGAATGAAATAGTTACCCAATATGGTGTTGGACCGCCTTTGGCATCCAAGACGGCCTGAATTCTCCTGGGAATTGACAAATATAGACCTTGGATGGTGGATAATAGAATTTGATACCACTCTTCATGCAAAAATCGTTCCAGTTCTTGCAGAGATGCCAGAGGCACAAAACAAGCCCGAACCTTGTTCTCCAAAACTGACCATCATGGATAAGAGGTCAAGCAACTGCAATGCCCAGCGAAGGTGCGAGACTTCGTCTGTATGCTTAAACCAGGATTTGACAACACCAGCTGTGCGATTCGGAGAATTATTGTCTTGGAAAATGGCGCCGTATTTAGGGAAACAAATGTCTGCCCCATGGACGGCCAATGTACATAGTCACTGGCAGTGACTACCTTCCAAGGTGATGATGATGGGGCCTGCAGAATACCAAGATATGGCTGGCCAGACCATGATTGTGCCACCACCATGCTTTACCATTGGCACAAAACAGTCCTGGTTGTAAGCTTGAGACGGTGTTCACACACAAACCTGTCCGGTGGTTGGGAACAGTGTGAAGCTCGATTCATCAGACCATGTTACACTCTTCCACAGATGGATTGTCCATGATTATGGGTGTTGCACCACTCTCTCCTCTTCTGAGCATTAAAGTGTTACTAAACCCACAACAGTGCAATCAGTCTGTATATGCAGTAAAGAATGCTTGTTATACTCACTGTGGAAGCCAAGGGGTTAATCTACATTATGTAAAAAGTTTGATCCTGTCTTCTCCGATCCTCCCCCTTCTACGGTCCCCAATCCATCTGCTGGTAGAAAAGAATCTGGTGGACAAGCTGCACATGTTCAGTTTGTTGTGCATTGCTAGGCAGTTTTTTTTTTGGGGGGGGGGGGGGGGTAGAGTGCATTTGATCAGCACAGGGCCAATCAGCACTGTCCAGACAAAGGTCAGGGGTCCAGCATCCTCCTACAGCAGAATGAAAACTCATCCTACGAGCTTTAACCAGTGCTCAGCTTTACACTGACAGAAGTTACAAGACTGCTATATACTGCTGATGAGAAAAGATATTTAGCAGTTTAGATTTACTAAAAAAACTATACTGTGGGAGACCCGGACACCGCGAACGCAGGGTCCGGGGAGACCCAGCGAACGCAGGGTCCGGGGAGACCCGCGAACGCAGGGTCCGGGGAGACCCGCGAACCCGCAAAAACGCAGGGTCCGGGGAGACCCGCAAACGCAGGGTCCGGGGAGAAACGCACCCGCAAACGCAGGGTCCGGGGAGACCCGCAAACGCAGGGTCCGGGGAGACCCGCAAACGCAGGGTCCGGGGAGACCCGCAAACGCAGGGTCCGGGGGAGACCCGCAAACGCAGGGTCCGGGGAGACCCGCAAACGCAGGGTCCGGGGGAGACCCGCAAACGCAGGGTCCGGGGAGACCCGCAAACCCCGCAAACGCAGGGTCCGGGGAGACCCGCAAACGCAGGGTCCGGGGACCCGCAACCCGCAAACGCAGGGGTTCCCGGGGAGACCCGCAAACGCAGGGTCCGGGGAGACCCGCAAACGCAGGGTCCGGGGAGACCCGCAAACGCAGGGTCCCGGGGAGACCCGCAAACGCAGGGTCCGGGGAGACCCGACCCGCAAACGCAGGGTCCGGGGAGACCCGCGAACGCAGGGTCCGGGGAGACCCGACCCGCACAGCAGAACGCAGGGTCCGGGGAGACCCGCGAACGCAGGGTCCGGGGAGACCGGGAGACACCGCGAACGCAGGGTCCGGGGAGACCCGACACCGCGAACGCAGGGTCCGGGGAGACCCGACACCCGCATAGTAAACGCACACCGCGAACGCAGGGTCCGGGGAGACCCGGACACCGCGAACGCAGGGTCCGGGGAGACCCGACACCGCGAACGCAGGGTCCGGGGAGACCCGACACCGCGAACGCAGGGTCCGGGGAGACCGGACACCGCGAACGCAGGGTCCGGGGAGACCCGACACCGCGAACGCAGGGTCCGGGGAGACCCGACACCGCGAACGCAGGGTCCGGGGAGACCGGACACCGCGAACGCAGGGTCCGGGGAGACCGGACACACCGCGAACGCAGGGTCCGGGGAGACACCGGACACCGGGAGACGAACGCAACGCAGGGTCCGGGGAGACCGGACACCGCGAACGCAGGGTCCCGGGGAGACCGGACACCGCGAACGCAGGGTCCGGGGAGACCGGACACCGCGAACGCAGGGTCCGGGGAGACCGGACACCCGCGAACGCAGGGTCCGGGGAGACCGGACACCGCGAACGCAGGGTCCGGGGAGACCGGACACCGCGAACGCAGGGTCCGGGGAGACACGGACAGGGTCCGGGTTCGAGACCGACACCGCGAACGCAGGGTCCGGGGAGACCGGACACCGCGAACGCAGGGTCCGGGGAGACCGGACACCGCGAACGCAGGGTCCGGGGAGACGGACGCGAGGGTCACCGGACGACCGCGAACGCAGGGTCCGGGGAGACCGGACACCGCGAACGCAGGGTCCTGGGTTTAGTAACCCCTTAATATCGGAAACTAGTGGTTTGGCAATTGCAGCTCACCCATTAATTTTTTGCTTATGCCGTTCCCTTCACAGTGTTTGTGGACATTGGCTTTGGAAGACTGAGATTGAGCTCTGAAGTCACTTTTGCAGAAGTTTTCTTATTCCAGGTCACAATCCTGTGCAATGTCCTTTGGCTCATTTGGTCAGTTGTCCATTTCGACTGCGCTTATGCTTGTCAGGCGACATTTTCCTTGAAAACTGTATACGCCGTCATAACCTTCGATACTGGACCTCGCGACACAGCAAACAAATTGGCAATTTCAGTCACAGAGGCGCCAGCAAAGCAGCGCTAACCATTTGCCCTCTTGTAAGCTCTGACATGATTCTGTATTACTTGCAACGCACGCAGTGAATGACAAAAGTGAGGCTTCCCATCTGTCTGCTAGGTGTCTCATCACACAGCGAAAAGCAAAGAATGTTGAATAACTTCTGCTTTCGCCTTGAAAACATGTTGTCACTTTACACCTGCAAATTTATGTAGTGTTTCCACATTTTTGTCTAACCCCTGTTGTGCAGTGATCAAATAGGCATTACATGAAGTGTTGGTGCACCTTATAAAAGCACATTATTTTGATCAAGAAACAAAGTTCTTTTGTGTCTTTAAGATCACACAAAACTGTTTTGTACTTTAAAATAGTAAGAATTTTAGAAAACAAGTGTCTATGAAAGGCTAGTTATTTCAGTTGCCGAAGAGAAGTGTAGCACTTAACCACAAGGTACAGGGCCATGCCAGAAGTGGATGAGGCAAAGATGGCTGCCTTAGGTGGCAGCATCACCTGTGTGCACAGAGTCAAACTCAGGGACTCAGCCTGCAGAGCTCCCCGACTGTCCTCTGCACCAATTACAGTCAGGAACAGTGACTGACAACACTTATCTCAGTGACGCCGAACCATGCAGTTTTAACAAATTCTGTGTCACTGAAACGTCCAGCGGCTGCATCTACCCGTGCGCATAGCTGCAGCATCCGGCAGGGAGCTCAGCGACATTGAACCCATGATTTTATAACAATCAGTGCTACTAAACGTTGCACTGAGGACAGAGCATCCAATATGAACACCCTGGTCTTGGTGCAAACACCCCCCCTGCCATGAGTACCACCTCAATTGGCTTCATGGGTGGGGGGGCCTGCTCAGGGATGCCGACAAGGAGAAGGCTTCCCTTGAAATCCCAATTGATAGACTGTAAAGCGCTGTGCAAACTGTTTGGCGCTATATAACTTCTGTACAATAAAAAGTCAGGGGGTGGGTTGGCCCACAAAACCTCATCCATAAGGAAAAAGCAGCAGTCCGAGACAAGTATGGCTTGTAGAAAAATGTAGTTATCAGGGAGCGGACTGACCATTTGGAAAAAAACTCTGGCGCTGCCTGAGGGCCCGGGGTCA